CCATGTCACCGACAAAGATGTTAAGCAACACGGGTCCCAACACCGATCGGTCTCCACATGGACATTGAACCGTTGACCACAACTCAAGCTAGCATGAGGTGAATCCTGTATGTAGTAGTAAAAAACCCCCTATTTTTATCTGCTTCTTTGCTTGCTAATTGTGTCATTTATTGGTGTAATAAATGTGACATTAATTGCTGGTATTGATAAAAATGACTTCTTTTACACTGACAGCCAAAGTTGTCCATTATAGTTGGACAGGCTGTGATGGTCTCATTCTTAGCAAAGTAAGATGCTGAAAGAAGCAGTGTAAGATGTAGAAGTAGTGAACCCTAAATCAGCAGAAAATCTGGTATCAGGAAACTGTGTGCTGAAATACATAAAAAATCCTCACAAACAAAACATGGATCCGAAGTTGTTTTCAGTCATACCTAAGAAATGCAAAAGTATGCCTGAAAATAGAATTTGTTCTGTAGAATTTGGTATGTTAATATATCATACTCACACATATTAACTGACGCGAGGCATTCACCTACCTGAAGCCTAAAGAATGGGAAGTGTGAGAGGCTGTGTGTAACACGTTTCCTTGCTTTCCTTTTGGGATAGTTTCGCATTTTGTGCCCTTGCACTTTTTGGAGAACTAAAAAGCTGCAGGTCACCCTCTTCTTAGAGGATGGCAGACATTGCTTATAAAGCCTAAAAGCACTTTTTTGTTCTTTTTAACTAAAAGTAGTGTAAAAAACATGAGGCCAAATCCTGTGGCATCTAGTTAGGCAAAAACCACACTGGGATTTGAAGACCACAGCTGTTTTTATATTTATGGACTGTGCTGTACAGCACTGCAAGTTTATATTTTCTTCCTTTGTAACAATAGGATAAACTCCTGTTTGTTATTGCACGGCACTTAGAGGACTGTGGTTGAGAAATGCTGTTACAGAATTGCTAACAAAAACGATTTCTTCTCTTTTCCAGAGAGATTGGTGCTTGCCCAGCCAACGTTTGTTTTTGAAAAGAAGGACCGTTCTCTCAAGGTAAAAAGGTTTTTTTTGGTTTTTTTTTTTGTTTTTTTCATAATTGATAAAAAATGCTGAGAAATGAGGGTTCTATAGCCAGTGATCCTATTTTAGCCCAGTAAACAATCTCAGAATAAAGAAGAGTTGAAATTAGAAATGAGGCTGCTTTTAATGCATTTATGCTGGATTGATATACTTTGTGTCCTGGTCTAGAAAATGGCTGTTCTGTTCTCCTTGACCTTTCCACGCTTATATTTTTTTTTTCAGCGCCCTGCAGAAGACCCAGTTTGCAAAGCTGAAAATGGTAATAACCACCTCATTGAAACAGTATAGTACACTGGGTTATTCATAGGTCTGACTGCTGCTGGTGAAATAAGTGTTTGGACCCTTACTTTGTATGAGCAAGGACAAATCTCTGTTAGTATATGAAGACTATGTGGGTTCTAGAGCCATCTACTACATCCTAATATACGTGGTTAGATATAAGGAAGAAGTTCTTTACTGGGAGGGTGGTGAGGCACTGGAATAGGTTGCCCAAGGAAGTTGTGAATGGTCCATCCCTGGCAGTGTTCAAGGCCAGGCCGGACGGAGTCTTGCGTGACTTGGTTTAGTGCGTGTGGTGTCCCTGCTCATGGCAGGGGCATTGGAACTAGATGATCTTAAGGTCCTTTCCAACCCAAGCTATTCTATGATTCTGTGAATCTATGTCCCTCTCTTACCTCAAGAATTCTTCCATTTTAACTCTTACACTTGCAAGAAAGCCAAACTCCAGAAGCCCTGAAAAGTGGCCAAGTATATTAATCAGCTGTATGAGTTCCTAGCTGCCCTTTTCTACTTGTTTAGGCTACATTATAATGTAACTTCTCGTTCTTACGTCTTCTGAATGTATGGGCTATGAAATGATTCTCAGTGCTTGATTTAGGTTCCCTGAACTTAGTAGAAACAGAGAAGAGTCCCTGGGTCTTTGTGCCTGGTCTTGACAGATTCCAAAGCCCTCTTGCTCTTAGGTACTGCCTTAAAGCTATTCCTGTAAGTCATTCTTAGAACTTAGCGTGTTCAGGTTTAAATTCCATATCATAACATTATGCTGAAACCCTCTGCCATTCTGTCCCTGCAAAACATTGTGTTAACTTTTCTCTAGATTTCGTTAGCTGTTCCAGAAAACGCACAAGATCATCATCTTTTACTCACCAGAAGTCTGACTCTCAGTTTAAGACAGGTATGACATTTAGCTTCAGTCATGTTTTAATTACTATAGTTTGTGTTCTCATCTGGTGAAGAAGATAAGGAATTTCCTAAGAAACATTTCTGCACTGTAGGAATGCTGCAAGTCATAAAAACTTAAACACCAATACTAATTTTCTGGTAATTTCAAATAAATCCCCTTTTAAGTAAAAATATATTAATTTTCTATGCTTACATAATACCACATAAAGTAGTGAAAAACCTGTATATTTCATATTGTTTCCTTGAATTACTCACATAGTCAAGGGAGGAGGAGGGCTGGAAAGGAATGAGATTTCCTGGTTTGTGGAAGAGATCAGTGTTCCCTAGGCAACTCCTGAAAACTTGAAGCAGTCTCCAGAAGGGCTCTACTTCCATCCAGTCAACAGCTGACCGGAAGACCTGTTCAGGACTGTGTATTACTTCCATGGGAAATGCACACAAGTCATTGAGGCTACTGAGCAGAAGGACTGATTTGTTTTTTACCGTGTTTATTGAATATATGGATGGGACCAAAAAGTTACTTCTGAATTTAGGCATTAATATGTGTACACTGTATTTTGTTTTATCTAGTCCTGTGACACACCTCAACATAGATAAGATTTAAGATAAGCTAAGTCTGGTTTACTCTGAAAATTATACAAGATCATAAATAAAATTTTAGGTAGAAATTTTAGGGTATGCCTATACCAGAAAATAAAGCAGGGTGCAGAAGGAAGCACGAGTGTTTGACCTCTTAGTTGTCCACACTGCTTAACTGATAGCTCACTTCCTGGTTCTGTTTTGAACCTCTCCAGCTGTCAGTCTCCAAGATAGAACTGTTAGAGGGTGGACGAGCCATGAGCAGAGTGCCTGGGCCAGGCTGTGCCACTTGGCCTCAGAGATCTCTCCGATTCAGCACTATAGACCGTCTACTTCAGAAGGCTGGTGGTTAGCAGTAATTATTCATTCTACTGCCAATGAAGGCATAACAGCAAGTTGACTAACCTTACAATTAATATATTTTTTTCTCCAAACAAATGGTAATTGTCAGTCTCTTACCCTTTCAGATACAACTCTAACTCAGAAAAGAGGGAGATCGTCTTCCTTCACCATACTTCCTACCTTCCCTCCCTCCCAGACAGGTAATTTAAAAAAAAAAATAAGGAAAGACAAAATCAATAAATGTTTATGTAGTAAAACAGGTAAAATAATGAGGTATACAGAAATGCTTTTTCTGCGGGACAGAGCTGAAGTGCATTGTACTAGGCTGGTATTTGGACAAGAGAAAGAAAAGAATGCTTTACAAGAGGGATTGGCAGTTCAATAGAAGAAATATTTTTTGCATTTGATGTTAAGGAATCCTGCAGTGTTAGGGAGGAATCTTTGAATAATTTGCAAATATGCATGTATAGAGTGTACAGATTCAAGTATAACATACTTGAAAAAAACAGGATGGTGTAATTACATGAATTAGTTTGCTTTCAGTTTAATGGTGATGGTTCCTATATGAATATAATTTTCTATCCTAGGAGCCTGTCTTCCACCTAACCAGTAACCCTGCGAGTATTCTCCCACTTAACAGGAACAAGGGAGTGCTCTTGAATCCTTGTCTTTTACCAGATCTGGGTGCTTAACAGACACTGACATAAAGGATTTCTAAATAATATTAAGGGGACACAACATTGTTATAGGAAGAAACCATAATCTTTCTGCAATGAAGAAGTAGTGACTGTGTGTGGAGTATGAGTTCTGTTGTTTTACAGGACATGGTACATGGTTTCCATCACTTTCTGGCTGGCGTTTGGTATCTTTATTAGAACAGTGAAAGCATCAGTAGAGCACTGCTATCATTATAGCAAATTACAAAAGCCTTTTTACCAGAACAAGGGGGGTACACTTATTTATTCCTGTGTTCTTGAGCCTCATTTACACATCTTAAAAATGCCTAAGATTGGACCAGATAGGATTGCCATTTCAGTGGCTTTTGCAAACCAGCAGCACCTGGTTTTCAAAGCTGAAAAAGGAGTTTATGAGTTGAAAACATCCATTAGTATCCAAAAGATATCTGTGTCTGACATAGCCAGAAAATCCATGATGCTTTCAGTACTGAAGTCTACCCACCCATAAAATGAAGACAGTAACAGTTATCTCAGTGATTGTGTTTAGATGGATAGGTTGGAATATTGCTCAGGTACTACCAAAATAGGGAGGAATTACAGAAACATGAACTATTAATAGAAGTTTATTGTTACTTTTTATTAAAGTTTAAATTTTGTGTTCTGTAGTAAAGAAGAATAACATATTCATGACCTCAGCTCTTCTTCAAAGAAACCCTGATCTGATCAGCAGTACAAAACAAGGTAACCATCACTACAGTATTTTTTCACTGTAGTTCCACAAAGACATTCTTAACAGATATAAAAGACATAAAAATGACACCTTTTATCTCTGATAAGTGATAGGCTAAGTATCTTTATGGGCTTCATAAGTTATTTGTTTGACAGCATCGATACCCTGTGAGCTCTGTTACGAGCTTCTGCTCTGACTAATGAATTCCTGAGTAGACCAAATACAACTTTGAATAATGAAATTCCACATTTCTAACTGAATAATTGCACTCCTGGAGAAGGCAATAAAGAACCCTCTTGGCATCTGCAGGTGCAGGGCTAAATTCGAAATACCAGAAGACAGATCTAACACAAAGCGGTAAATATAAATGTAAAGAAATATTAAATAAATAAAGTACAACTTACAAGTAAGTGTATTTATGTATATAACAAATTACCTTTTTATTCTGATAGGACAACATGGGTTGCTGTCACTGCAGAGTTGTATATTTTAGAAGGGATTACAATTTTTCAGAATATGTAGCAAGTAAACAATAAATGTTATTTAAACATGCTTTGATGCTTTTACCTAAAGAGGCAAGACACATAGGTATAAATTAAGCGTGAGAAAAAGTCTTTGTTTAAATATTTTGTCTTTGTGTTTTCCAAGGATCCTTGTCACGAAATCAATTGCAGAATGTCATTAGACCTGCCATTTTACAACCCCCACAAGCCCTGACCTGTCCTGAAAATCCTGTAGTATCTCTTGTGACTGAGAAAGAAGCACATATTCAGGTAAAAAGAAAAAGTAATTATTCCACTGCATGATTTCCAAGAAATTTCCCATATCAATTGCAGTGGAATTGCTGGATCACTGACATGGCATGAACTGTTAAACTCACTCAGACTGTATTTGAAAAAACATCTCTGTGAGCTGTCTCAAGTTTCAGATATCAGGGTTCTGTGGGAAAATCAGCTTTGAGGGTCTTTTGGATTTTGTTTATTTAGAATGTAGTATTTTAGCATTTTGATTAAGAGTACTGGCTTAGAACACAGCTGGAGGAAGCTCTGCCAACTACCACATATATATACATACATACGTCACATACACCTCAGTGTCTCTGGACTTCTAGCAGATATGTTTATAGCAGAAAATCACCTTGGTCTAATTAATTCATATGGTTTTATCATTCCTAGCTATCTGAAGACAGCTCCTACTCTTATGCTGAGAATTTAGTAAATTTCAAAACAGCAGCAGGATCATCTACTACTGTGAATCTTTCTAGCTCTAAATCAGCACCGTAAGTTTCTATTTATTATATTTCTGTACCATTTAGTCACTTGATCTATGGCATGCCTTTCTGTCTAACATATCTAACATGGTACTAAGCCCATGCTATCTACACCCACACACTGCTCACTGGTGCGTGTATGTGGTGCCAGGATTTGTAGATGCTGACATGAGCTCCATATGCCATAAGAAATGGCCTCTGCCAGGAGTTAATCTCTGTGGGATATTTTTTTTCTCACTAGCAACCCCCAGGCCAGAAACTATTTTAGTTTTCCATCTCATGTAGCTTTGGCAGTTCAAAATCTGTCTGGTTTTGAATATTTACAGTCATGTTTGTGTCCTTTTGGAGAACTCCCCTCTGATTGCATAGCTGCTGCAACTCATAAACAGATGCAGAGAGACTCAGAAATTTGCAGGTGTGTTTTTAATTATCAATCAAGGTGTAATTATTGATGTTTATTTACTAAATAAAACGCAGAAAGACTTAACAGTAAGGATTGCTGCTGCATGCAAACGTCCCTCTTACTTCCCCTCCTCTTCCACCTCTTCTTCTCTATGTGATACAGTTCTGTTGCTCTTCAGTTGCTGCAGCTGTTTGTGTCCCAGGAAACCACCAGTAGTTCCATTTCCTGAATTGGCTGTAGTAACGAACTGAAAATGAGAAATTTGCTGTTTCTGATTAAAAGCAAGGAGATTGTGTTGTAAGTGACAGAAATATAATGCTGGGAAAATGCAGACTTCTGGTCATGTATTCAGCTTTGCACAAGGATTTGCTTGTAAAACTGGAAGGGTTCAAGGCCAGCATTAAACCTGGGTGCTACTCAGATCCTTCCGGCCACTCTGAGAAGGACAGTACCTGGCTCCCTTTCCTTAGAACCTTTCCAGTATCTTATCCACATTTCTCCTACTCTCATTCTTCCTTGTTAGTGGTCGTTCCCTGAATTCAGTGCCTCTGCTTTTCATCTCCATGGCAATGTCATCCCTGGCACATTTTGTTCTTACCCTGCAGCAACACAAGGGTATTGAGGTTTTAGTAACACTCTAAGGCTGGCACTTCCAGTTAACTCTCTGAAAAGAAAGATCCTGCACTGATCACTTTTTTCTTAAATTTCTGAAAATAATAAATCCACTACCCTCATTATTAATTTCAGACTAGGCTCTAGTTTCTGGTTTTTATCTCTTCTGGAGGGCTGTCCTTACTGAGTTGCTACTGGAGTGGCCTAGGTGTAGCAGATGAAATTTCAGGATGGAAAACAACCACAATTCTGTGAATTTTAGTAGAGTTTTTTCTTAAGGAATAAGAAACTTACTAGTTTAAACACAGTTTTGATTCCCTGTTCATCACCCCAGACATGTATGGAGGTCTTCAAGGTTGAAAAGAGATGGATTCTCTGATTTCTCAAGAAAAGCATGAGAATGTTAAGGAACATTTTTTTCCTTACGCGTAAAATGGAGATAGCTTATACTTGGAAAATCCTTCATCCTATATGAAGAGCTGTAGTTGTGAACACAGAAACTAAGTTTTCGAGGCAATCATCAAAGTTCTGGCCACAAACCCAGCTTATTAATAGGAATATCCTCTGCATGACATATGTGCCGTTAAGCCCTCCCAAGGGTGATAAATGATCTGGAAGAGCAGGTAAGTGGTGCTGAATTATGCAGTTTGTGACAAAACATCAGATCATCTTCCTGCCAAGTCATCCTTCTGGAAACAGAAATAGACAAGAATTTGGGTGGTTTTGCCTTTACCAGCAAGAGATGCATTGATTAAGCTCTACAGAAAACATGAACAACCTGTAAGCCTTCTGTAAAAGAAAAAAATAAACCAGCAGCAGGAACAACTTCCACACAGAGAAATCTACATTCTGGTGATTTTTATAAAAAATGGATCCTGATAATTTAAGTGGCTATGTAATTAGCAGGTCAGATCACAGCTGTACTGAGAATATGCTTGAACATAATCCACAATCAATATACTTTTTACAAGTTGTGACTGTCACTATTTAAAAATGCATTCACCTTCTCTTAAAATCTCCTGAGACGTAAGAGGCTAACTGAGAGTAATAAACTCAGGGTGGTAGTGCAAAAAAAAACCTTAATGTTTTTTATCCAGGAAGGAAAAAGGGACAGAAGTTGTTTTAATGTAGGTTTTCCCAAAACCAGTCACATTCGAGATCCTAAACATGAAGTGATTTATCTACTGTATGAAATTTTCTCCCCAAACAGTATCCCTAAACTTAGTTGGGCAGTACCAAATGATCACAAGTATCTAGTTTTCTTAACTTTCCTTTTAAGTATATCTATAGAACAGGTCATTGAAAAATGGAAGGAAGATCTTTCTTTCCTCTTTCAGTTCTACCTCATCATAAATCGTCTGCTATCATACCTTCACATTTTTGCAGTATTTATGTGAATTGAAAGTGTGTGCATTAGGATACATTGCCTGGCTGCCTTTCCAAGATGTTAGGTGGATGACCAAGGATGATCTATAAGGCTCTGGGAAGTACAGTACTCTGAAGGGTACCAGAGCTCTACCAACATGAAGGAATAACTGTTAATAACTCATTAAAGTTTCTGAAGTAAGACACTTCCCTGAGGAGGAGGAAGAGGTGGCATGTAGTTTTGCTTCTTGTTCTTTGCTTTTAAGGAACATCCTCAATAATCTTCATGAAATACAGTGTGATATTCTGTGTTCCTTTTTCTGAAATGTTACATGAAGAATATTCTCAGATGCTCTTGAAGAATTAAGTTTCTTATTACTTAAGTGGTCATTTTTTGTCTATCTTTAAAGCAAGGCATGCTAAGGCAAATGCATGAACTTATGTTTACATTTCACAAAATTTTAAACAGTTATATATCACATTTTTATGTTACTTGTTCCCACAGAAGTCAGTTGTTTGAAGACAGAAGTGTACAAAACATCCACAATTCTGATTTTGTGTTTGGAGAAAACATGGTGGAGAGAGTTTTGGTAAGATCTGTAATTGCTGGCAGGTATTTTATGAAGGTTAATGTATTTATGAGTGTAATTATTTTCAGATAGTGATTTTTTTTTAGCTCCTCATGTTCTTTTAGAGATATGAGTAAATGTGATTCAAATGGCTGTTGAGGAGAAAATCTGTAAATATTTGCTGTAGGAGGGTTAGACATCCCTATCTTCCCCACCCAAGATAAGTACTCTAATTACTACTTCATACCGGGCTGCGCTTTTTCTCATTTTTTGACCTGAAAAAGTTTTTTTTATTTTCCATATAAAGTGAGACAGCAACAAGATAAAAGAATGTGGTCCCTACCACTCTAATGGTTTCCATCATAACTGTTAAGAAATGGGAGAAATAAGTATGCTAAATAGTGTCCATGTTGAACTATATTGTACATGCTGTGAGACAGCTTAATGGATCAAGTCCTGAAGGAAACTCAGACAAAAAGGTGGTTCCCAAGCTGAGGAGGACTGCAGCACATAAAATGGAATTAAAATTAATTAATTTTCTAATGGAAGTAGAATGAAAACAGTATGCATATCAGCCAGTGAAAAAGCTTCGCAATGATAGGTCTGGATTATGACTTATGACCAGTATTTAGCTACAGGGCAGATGTTGAGCCACTGAGCACTGGAGGGAAACAAAGGCATTTATTTAGACATGCCTAAGAAATTTTATCTGCAAAAAACTGAAGGTCATGGAAATTTTTAATTCCCTTGCTTTTAAGTTTGAGTATTTAAACTATTCTTCTAGGGCTTAAGTGCTTAAACCAGAAATTAGCTGGTACATAAACCTCTAAATCCTCCAGTGGATTTAAATCCTAGTCTGGGATCCATACAAACAGGCCATTCTTCTTAGTGGAAAAATCATATACTATCTTATGATAATAAAATTACTTCCAGTAGAGACTGAAATTGTATCATCTGGGTCAGTTTTTACTCTGAAGATACTACAATCGCTAAACTTCAGCCTAGTATGCATTAAATGATTCAATGTTCTGTTTGATATGAAGTAACGCAGCCATTTTACTTAAATGGGAATTTTTATTTCCCCTGGTTTTTTTTAGAGTCCTGAGAGGCATCCCAAGATACGTAACAAAGCCAATACATACAAAGAAGAAATAACATCCACATACATAGAATCTTGTCACGTCAGTCCACCAACAAGTAAGCAAACAAGTACAGTTAGCTTTATTATGATGTTTCACTTCATTTTAGAGGATGTAAAATGAGTGCTGGTCAATAATTTTAATCTACTCTCAAGTTATCAGGTCAGTAGTATGCTTGCAGTATGTGCCAAAACCTGTGTTCAGAAAGCAGCTACAGTTTGGTTTATGACATTTGAACTGGATTAACTTCAGAATGAACCATCTAAATTACTCAGGAAAGGTTAGGGTTTTACAGATTATTACTATTTATTACAGATTGTTATTGTTCATTATTTGAAAATAAAAATGCAGTGAACTTTGTGAATGCATTTTGGACCACATTTTTGATGACAATTTTAAGTGGTTTGTATTTTGTGACTGCTCAGGTAGAAAAATTACTTTGACACAACTGGGTTTACTGAAGTCACAGGCCATCCCGTGTGCTAATTTTGTTGTCCTGGATTTCCGTTTTTTTCCCTACAGAAATACCCCTGTTGAAGAACGCAACACTAATTGAATCAGCAGCTGCTTGTGTTTCCAAGCCAGTGGAGAAAATTCTGTTTGATAAAGTTAAAGTTATAACTGGAGAAGAAGCAGAACACAACGTATTACAGGTGTGTATTTCATAAAGACTAGATGGTGAGCAGTTTTGTTGTTGAAAAGAACATCTAGATCCATTACAGATGGCACCAATCTGAAAATAACTTCAGTTTATATTTTGAATTTTCACTTTTTTAAAATATGCCTGTGCTAACACATTTTTCTGTAGACCGGTTTTTCTTTTTCATATTATATTTGTTCATTTTGTAGTCCTTTTTCAGTAAGTGACTGCTTTGGAATTTCATTCTGCAGTTGCATTTTATAAGCAACTACACAGCAGTAACTAAACCAGCAAAATTGAAAATGATTTGGGTAAAGATTTTTTTATGACCAGCAATGTGTTGTCAGAGTGTCCCGGTTAAACCATGACACAAAGTAATTAGTTTTATAGTTCATCTAAAATATTAGTTATTTTTCTGGCCCAGCAAAACACACCTTACTACTCCTCCCCTTAAAAATGTTATCTTCTTAGAAAATAGCAATGACTTACATGATTTTAAAAGTCTTAACATTGAAAATTACATTATTTTATCATAGAAACATAGAATAGTTTGGATTGGAAAGGACCCTAAGATCATCTAGCTCCAACCCCCCTGGGACAGGGAAATTTTATCATTGATGAAACCTTCTGTCTTGTCAGAACATGGAAGTTTTACTCTCCAGGTTGGACAGAGCCTTGGGCGACATAGTTTAGTGTGTGGTGTCCCTGCTTATGGCAGGGGGGGTGGAACTAGATGATCTTAAGGTCCTTTCCAACCCTAACTATTCTATGATTCTACGATTCTTTGTAGTAGTACTGTCCTAGTAGTGGTACTGGTATCCTTGTCTGCATAATGTTTCTAAGAGGTGGGGGAATAAGACTGTAGAACAGTTGCAACAAGTTCAACTGTGTTAGTGGGTATCACAGATAAAGCATTAAGACAGATGAAATAACTGAAAAAGTAAACTGCTATTCATGATGAATGTTTTCCATGACTAGGAGAATGTTTAGCACAGATCTGGGAGCCATTTCATGTTAAGTAATAGTGGTGATCTATGTGTCTGTATACATGCATATGGACTTACTAAAAGCTGTATCAAAAGGTTTAAAAACATAAAGTTTTAGAACGAATAAAATTAACGTTGGCTGGCAATTTCCATTATGTATTTCTCTTTCAGATCAACTGCAAGCTCTTCGTATTTAATAAGCTTTCTTTAACTTGGATTGAAAGAGGCAGAGGCTCCCTGAGGCTTAATGACACTTCTAGCAGTAAACATGGGATGCTGCAGTCAAGGCTAAGTAAGAATTAAATACCAAAGTTACACATACACACAAAACACTAAATAACTTGTACTACTGCTGGCCAGAGTAAGTTTATTTCAGAATATTTAAAACTGAGTAGCTAGCTTTATTTAAGTCAAGTTGCTGAGAAGTTAGCAGTGTTACAGACTGAGGCATTGCGGATTTTTCACTCAGTTTGTATGCTCATGCTTACATGTGTTGTTAGGTTCTGTGTATTTTTACTGCAGTGTGTCATTAGCTCAGTCACCAGCCTGACAGTTTGCTCTTTGTGGATCCTGCTGTTGCAGGAGCACTGTTTCGAGTCACTTCTGGAATGTTGTTTTTAATGTGCTGTCATTTTTTGTACTGTATTGCACGGTTTCAGCAGATTATTTGCTTTGTGTGTATTGAAATAAGCTAATGTATTTGGGTATTTAAAAATAATCAAAAAAAGTTATCACCGTGTCAGGTTCTAGACCAAATTAAAAATAATAATTTATGAAAATATTAGTTGTATACAAGTGCTGGAGAAAACTGCTGCAGTAAAAATGGGGATAGTTCCAATGACTTATCATATCAACTTTCTTATTTTAGTTATGCGAAATCAAGGCAGTTTGAGACTGATTCTCAACACCCGACTCTGGGAACAAATGGTTATAAAAAGAGCAAACAGAAAGAGCCTGTGCTTCACTGCAACAACCCAAGAGGACCACTCTGTTCAAGTATTTCTAATTCAGGTAAGCAAGAGATAAAAATCCCACCCAAATCCACATTTCTTCTAAGATTCTGAAGACTATCTGAGGCTTTGGTTTTAGCAAATGGCCTTCTGTGCTCTGGCAGGCTGTGCCTAGCTTACCTGTTACAGGGCTTTTATTATGAAATGAGCTACCCATTGGTATTAAAAAAAAAAAAAATAAGGTGTGATGATGGGATGTGGCCTCAGGACGAACATTTCCAGACTCTAGAAATGACCACTTATGGAATGGATATCGTCCCAGCCATATGCAGCAACTAGTCTTTCTTAAGCAAGTGTAGGAATTTCTACACAGGTAGTTACATATTCAGAAGTTACTTTGGTTCAAGGCAGCAGCTTTGTGTGGACATGATTCTCCACACAGTGCTTGCAGTAATCCGTTGTGGAGAGTACAGATTTTGTGATGTCACCTTATTTAAGACAATAGTCTTGGGAATCCTGGTTTTCTCTAGCAAGGGCTGATAAGTTGAGAATGAAAATGTGATGCACTTATTTGCAAATAAATAGCGCGTATGTCCTAGTTCCAGAAATGAAAGCATCCTCATATGTTTAAGGATGTCTCTGTTTTCCCCAGTAGACCTTTCTGGGAAGGATTCAGCCTCCTGGGCAAGAAAAATGAATCACCACTTCCAGGAAGTGTCACATCATACACAAGCAAAGCACCATGCACTATATATGCAAGCACTGCAACTCTATCACTTCCAGCGATTGACTTAACTATGGCTGTGCTGCACAGCTGGTCTGCATGTGAGAATTAGAAATGCTCTAGGTTTCTAGATGTGCTGCACAGTTTTTCTAGTGTATATAGATGTAAACATTCCTTAAATTCTGTGCTGGCACCTCTGGACAATAAAAAAAGACAAGTATTAGTAAATGAAGATACATGACAGCTGCATGTGTATGGCAAGGGTTGCAGGAAGTTGCTTCTGTGTCTGTCTCTGAAGCGGCTCATATCCATTCCTATAGCTGATACCCAGCCAAACTAACACTGAGACTTTTGACTCTGTAATGCGACATGGTCAATGCATGAGACACCCAGCAGGCATCACCAAAACCATAACACATAAATCAGGCTGGTCTAGTACTCAGTGGAGCCCACTCCTCCGAGGCACCAGCAGACATTTTTAACTGCCATTTAAATTTGTTTTTCCCATGTCAAATGAATCATACATACATTTGGTTCAGGTATGTTATCCACAAGGCTTCTTACGGATGAGGGCCAAGTAACAGGATGCTGACTACAAAGGAGGCAGCCCACAGGACTCCATTAGGTTGGTCCTCTAGTACTCACTTGGGTTTGTGCAGGGGGCTGCTCCTGCCTTCCTCTCCTGCTTGTTTCTTCCTCCTTGCTTTTGGTAGCATAGCAATTTTTACAGCTGAGAGTGAGGCAGATCAGAAAATTGATCTGGATAGGCTTTTTAATTTTTGGTAAGTTAGTTTTTTTAGCTTGATTTTATTCACCCTGTGATCACCCTCATGGCCGTACTGGTACAATGGAGAGGGTAGAAATGAAGAGTCAGAGAATGTGTGGAGGTGAGTCCACCCCTCTTTGCAGAAGACAGAGTTTATACTTGATTAAAGTGACAGAAGAACTCCAGCTTTTGAATGAATAAATTGAAAGCTACGGGTAGAAATGATCAGGCTGAATAGATGCCTTTGTCATAAATATAATTGCGTTTCCTGAAAAGCTGTGTTATCTTTAGCACTCAGATTTGTCCACTGAGAATTTCATTTGCAGTTGAGACACCTGAACAACTCTGAAT